AGAGCAATAGTTGGTGGCCCTGACGTTTGACTTTTGGGCGCCTGACTCAGTCCCAGACCATGCGGGAGCTCGTTGATAGGTAAGACTTTCTTCAAGTCAAGATCTGTTCTGGTTCGCTTGGCTGGTCGTTCTTCCTGTAGCTTTGCATCGCCCAGGCCAACGTCTGCAGTACGCTTGGTCGTTCCGAAGATCGATGTGATCTTTGGGCTTGCCTGACGTTGAGCCAGCAGAGACGCATCGGCCGCTCGTTTTCTGGCTCCTCTGGTCTGCATGGTGTTTGTGATCTCTTCACAGGTTGGCACTGACAGACTGACAGGCTGGAAGACGAGACGGCTCTCGTTCAAGGTCAACGAAATAAAATGAGAGTTGGATATGCCCACACGGGTACTGTCGTGAGAAGGCACTTAGGGTTATAAATGGCTCGAAAGCACAAGGAATCTTCCGAAGGTGGAGACAAATTAGACGTTGGTATAAGGGGTGTTCTCCGGCCTTCATGGATTTCCAGATGCCACTGGGAGGCTTGACGCAATGAAGAGATTTGTGTGCTGGACTTGTGATTGCTCACATCACTTGGGCAAGATTGGCACGAAATACAAGAAATTTCAACAGACTGAAGCTTGGGACGAAGGTTTTGACATTCGATCAAAAGCTCGGTATGTTGTCGGCAGGGGCGATGGGAGGTAGACATCAAGGGAAGGAACTTCCCCATGCACCTCCCCTACCTTGTGCCATATGCCCCTCACGCCTTCTCAACATTCTCGTACAATGATTAAATGCCCGTAGATTCTCCGCTCAGGGACGTGTACCGTGCCTTCGATGGAGCCTCCTGGCTCCCTTCAGGAGCCTCCCTTCATGCCCACGTGGGCATCTTCAAAGTGATGGCAAAACGGTGATGGTGCCAAACGACTTGCCTCAGTTCAAGACCTTACCGGGACAGTCATGGACTGGTAGGATGCGCCACACCTCTCTGTCAACACTCTCGGTGTTTTACCTGCATGTGCGGCCGCGACCACACTTCAATACTTGCCCTCGAAACTTCACTACCAAATGAGGTTTGCGAGTTCAGCAGACCTGTCACGGATGAACACCCAACCTTTGAGGGTGTTGCGGCCTCTCGGTTTATACTACTCCTTTCGATGACATTGCGAAGTATCACAAGACCCAAGGATAGCAACCCGAGTGGCGAGCTGCCTGGTTTCCCTGAAGGTGGAATTCATTGTCTATGCTCTATGTTTTGTCTGTTCATAATGTTCTCCGGCTCAATGTGTTCGAGCTTTCTTAAGTCCGCACATCGTTATATCTTACCCTTGACTGCCTTGTCTCCGCTGTATGTGGAGGTGCTCCCAACCCTCACAATCAGTCTCTCAGCTCACGGTTCTTTGTGGGCTTTATTTGCCTTGATCATGGGTATTGTAACGCCCCAGAACAGCCTGAGTTGCGGGCTCAGTCTTTGATCAATGCCGCTTAGTTCTCCATCATCTTTGCATGAAGGCGGAGACAGACACAGCTCAGGTGGCCAGCCAGATGTCACAAACTAGGACGCCACGAATATTCTTCACGCAGACCTATTGCTCCGCAAATACACGGGTTCTTTCCACTTACATGAGGTTTCGTCCGGAAGTTACTATCTTCGAAGACTTTGGTTCCTTCTCGGAATTTTCGACACTTGCCACAAACCTCCTGTCCTACCGTCAGTCCTCTACATCGCCATTTGCAAAGTTGATCACTCCGTGGAGTGGGCGACATTGTAGAATGGCTTCCCCCTACGGGATCTCTGGCAGAAATGCTCTTGACCCCATCGAGATCCCCGACGACGATGATCCTATCTTGCCCGAAGACCAGAGACGCATAGATATCGCACAGCAGGTTCGCAATTACTTGCTACACCGGGAGCACCAGGACGAAGCTGGAGCTGCTTTCGGCAATGCTCCGTCAGAAGATGATCAAGAAGACGATATTGTGGCAGAACTGAGAGAGGTGATCGACCTCACGGGAGACAGGCCCGAACCGATATCTCGATACCAGGGCAGCTACAGCACTCATGCTGCGCACCCATCACCGAAGAAGCGTCACCAGAGCGTTCATTTTGGAGGCAAAAAAGTCAAGGTCAACTTCGTCTACGAGCTAAACGACACACAGGGACACCAGTTTGCCCTTGGCTTCATCCGAGTTACAGAAATCTGGGAGCACACCCTGGATAAGACTTTCCATGTTCATGGAATTCCGTATACGCGCAACCGTGTTCTACACGGTAAGCTATCACACAAGCTCAACGAGGTCTGCATGGTTCTCGAAGTGTACAAAGACGACCAACGGCCGCTGCGAGAGCAGGCCTGCATCAAGGTGCCCATTTCTAGTCTTGGTGGCCCGCGTCGACTCCACGTCACCAACGCGCCCTACCCTCTCCATCGCTGGGACCCCAAGGCCTTCCCGTCGAAGGACGAAGTCGAAGTCTCTGGGCCCCTTGTGTGCCGCTGGAAGGTCATCTACGAATACCTCGATGATCAACCCCGAAGAAAGCCCCTCTCGCCACGCAGTTTCAAGATCATTCGCATCAGAGCCGAGGATGTGACAGAGCCCGAGCTCAGGTACAGCGACGAAGCGCTGCGCCGAGACTGGCGCGGCGAAACTGTCCGTGGCGGCAGCTACCAAGCACCGCGAGGACCTGTTCGGGCTGGAACAGTGAACCGAGCTCCCAACCAGCGATATACCCTCTTCGATGCCTTTTGCGGTGCAGGAGGTGTATCCCGCGGCGCCGAGCGCTCAGGGCTGCACGTTCAGTATGCTGTAGACGTATGGGATAAGGCTTGCAGCAGTATGCGTATGAACTTCCCCGACACAGAGGTATTCGAGACCGATATATACGGCTTCATCACGTCGACAGATGGAAGAGTCATAACCGCCGACGTTGTCCATCTGTCACCTCCTTGTCAGTTTTGGTCACCTGCACACACGGTAAACGGTCCGCAGGATGATGCCAATATCGCTGCACTGTTTGCTTGCCGAGCGATCATTGAAAAGGTGCGTCCCCGGATCTTCACGCTGGAGCAGACATTTGGCATCATGCGCGAGCGATTCGCAGATTCGTTCAACTGCCTCATATCTGGTTTCACGGACCACAACTACTCGGTCGAGTGGAAGGTCATTGAGTGTGAATACTACGGTCTGCCCCAACACCGCCGGCGCCTGATTATGATCGGAGCAGGGCCCGGTGAGGTGATGCCTCCGTGGCCGGCCATCACGCACGCGAGAGGCGGCCAAGGCGGCCTGAAGCCGTTCAACACGATCCGCAAGGCTCTCCGACCGATCGCGCAGGTGCGCAACGACCCTCATCACAGGCCCAGGCCTTGTCCGCCGTCGAAGGACTCAGTTGTCAGCGACCCCGACGATATTCTCAAACGCTGCATGACGACGAGTGGGGGTCAAAATCGGCACTTTGACAAGACTCGGACGTACACGAATCGCGAGTTTGCCTGCCTTCAGGGATTCCCGATCTGGCATCAATTCACCAAGACATGTGCTCGCCGGCAGATCGGCAATGCGTTCCCCCCTTGCGTTGTCCAAGTCTTCTACGAGGCGATACAGAAGCATCTGTACCAGGTAGACGGCTTCACTGGAAACCCCCGACCTGTGCTCCCTGTTATTCCGAGAGACATCATCAGCCTGGTTGACGAAGGTGAGGAGGAAGACGACAGCGCCATGGAAGACCCGCCCAGTTACAGGGCCTCTGCCAACTTCCGTCCCGCTCCCATTAACCGCAGAGATGTCGTTGACATGGCTGGTCAAGGATATTCCACTGGTCTGCGTCCGAATGCGACCGTAAGGCGGCGCCCTGCCCTTGTGAACGTTGATCTCACGCCGTCCACACACTTGCGCCCGCGGTCTCAGCCGACCCCAGCCCCTGTGGCTTCGTCGCAGCTTGACTTGGAGTATCGGACACAGCGACGTCGGCAGCCTAACGGGGCATTTGACGGCTTGACACTGATGTCACGCGAGGTCCGTCAGGACCCCGGCGTCATGGAAGCCACTTCTTCTCAAGTCCATCGATATGGCGATTCCATCCGGCCTACGTATCCCACCGCTACTGTGCGACCCCGCCTTGACTATCAGCAGCAGTTCCCCCTTGTACGACCCCGACTGGACTATCAGCAGCAGTTCCCCCATCCTTACGATGAAAGCATGGCACAGTCTCGTTACGGAGCCAACGGTCGCACCATGGGCACCCAAGCCAGCGCATCACGGCCGCCACAGCCCGTGCATGACGGGCTGCGCTTCATAGCCCCCAGCCAGAGGCTGCTGCGCGGCTCGTTCACGGACATTGCCCTCGACGCTTGGGGTTTGCCTCCCGTTGGCTCTTTCCGCGAGCGGCACGACGCCAGTGTCCTACCAGCTGGAATGTCTCACCTGTCGCGCACTGCCTCGTTATCGGGCACACCGAGGCGAGGTGCCATGCAAGCCGAGTACAGTAGTCCCGGTTTGCGAGGCGACGATCAGGATCAGGATATCATCATTCTAGATTGGCTAGATGGGGTGGGCGAGGCTGGAGGAAATGGTAGAGAAATGATTGTAGGGCGTGAGAGAGAAAGAGAACAAAGCGGTTACAGGCCGCCCATGGAGTGGCAATGAAGAGGGGACGATGAAGTGTTGCTTGCCGTGCCGACGAGACTTGAGAGGCACCGATGATGGCTTGAATTTGCAGAACGAAGAGAGGTTCGGGTTGGTTGGACGTTACGAAGACAAGAGTTGAGCGAGTGGCTTGGATGCACTGGCTTTATTGCATAAGATTCAACGATCCAGAGACGGGGCGTTCGCCCCGAAAATACACACCATCACATCATGTCTGCCGTGTCGTTCGTATTGGTCATACACTGTCAATGTCGCAGGGACTCACTGCACTTCACTTCAGCAATATGTACTTGACCGCCATCTATGTACCCTACAGGGATAATCTCCCCATGCCATGACTCCCTCGGCCGGACCGACGCCGCCCAGGATTCGCCTCACGTCAAGACACTCTGATCGATCCAGGCAATGTTCCCAGGCACGCCGTGCTCGGTCAGGAAGACGTCAACAGGCCTCCTATACGGCGCAAACGCAGCGTCGTCCAGCACGCGCGTGACGCTGCCCTTCGCCGCCAGGGCCGTGGCGTTCCAGCCAGGCCCGCGGTCCTCGTGCACGGCCATGAAGGTGAGGTCGGAGACGCGCGGGTCGGTGGCGCCCCAGCGGATGTAGCCGGCGGGCAGGACGCTGGGGTCGAGGTAGGTGTCGCTGAAGACGGAGCGGTGCTGGGCGTTCCAGGGGCGGCCGAGCGGGCAGCGGCCGGCGAGGGCCGGGGCGATGGAGGCGTTGGCGGCGAGGACCCGGCTGTCGTCGGCGACGTAGACGCCGTACTTGTTGGGGAAGGTCGTGTTGGTGCCCTTCCAGGCGGTGATGCCGCCGCCGCAGTTGCGCAGCGACAGCGTCGAGTGGGCGACCCAGGCGGTGCCGAAGCCGTAGAGGAAGTCGGTCTGGCCGGCGATGACGTTGTCGTGGAAGTAGGCGTTTCCGAGCTTGCCGACGTAGAGCTGCGGTGCTGTGAGTAAGTGGTCTCTGCCGGTTTGTACATGGGGGCGAGCTGGGCGGGCGAGCTATAACAGGGACAAGACTCACCGTGTCCTGGTAGCTGTAGAGGCCGCACGAGTAGAAGCCGGCATTGGCACGGCTCACGCCGACGGCATGGGCAGGGCCGTTGGCGCGGGGGAACTCGTCGTTGCGAAAGTCAATGTTGTAGGCGCGGAAGTCGACGTTGCCGAACGGCGTGCCTTCGGGCACGGCGAAGCCCGTCGGGCCGGCGCCGGTGAGGGTGGCGTTGAGGGTGGGGCCGACGCTCAAGACGCTGGTGAAGGCGTTATCGGGGAAGCGGGCCTGGTAGTTGGCGGCGTTGTGCCAGACCTGGACCTCGTTCTCCGGCGCCGGTGACGAGAGGTCGGTGGCGAGGTCGGCGTAGAGGCGGCCCTCGTGGGGGCGGTCGGACATGCCGAGCAGCGTCAGGGCGCCATGGCGGGTGACGTTGAGCTGCTCGGTGTAGTTGCCGGGGGCGATGAGGATGACGGCCGGCACGTCCGTGTCGGGCAGCGAGTTGATGGCGGCCTGGATCGAGCTGAAGTGGGCGCGCTTGGACTTTTGGCTGACGAAGATGGTGTTCGGCGGGCATCCGTCGAGGGGATGGCACGTCTTGCGCTGGCACTCGGCATATGTCGCCGCCGGCTTGACGGCCGGGGCCATGTCGTCTGACCTCGTGTCGAGAGGCGCCGCGAGACCCAGATGCAGGCCTGGCAGCAGAGCCGCGACGAGGGCGAGAGTCTTCATGATGCTGGCTTGGTCTGTCGTGGCGGACGAGTCGGACAGGTTCCTTCGCTCGCAATGGCACTGCTCGACCGAACGGCTTGGAAGAAAAGTCTTGGCGCTCGATCAAGTATAAATGATCTTTGCCATGCCTCGCGAAATCTCCCACGATGTTGTCTTGAAATAGTAGAGCCTCGTCATCTCGTTCATGGAGGCGCTCCCCAGGCGCGGCTCATCGGCAGCTGGCGACTTGGTGGTCCCGGACAAGGAGAAGCATGTCTGCTTTTCCGGGCATCCGGCAGACAGCACATGGGCATGGGAGCGACACAAAGGACAATGGCAGAAGGCGAGCTGGAGCTTGCTCCCCCGCGCTCCAACGCAATGCGACGATCGGCGGGCATGAGTCGCATGCTGGTTAGTGTCATGTGGGCGTGGAATGAAATGACAATGTGCGTGTCCCAATTGACGCAAACCTCCGCGCGACGGGTCCCTTGCGGTGCCTGTGGTGCTCGTGGTATTTGCCGTCTTGCGGAGGCCGTCGTCGAAATACTTCCACGAGTGAGACGGCGTGGTTGCGGCTCCGAAGCCACGCCGTCCCGGAAGTCGGCACAGTAGGTTGCCAAGGACAGATTCGAGAGCTTCGTCTCCAGCTTACCCCGACTCCAGGAGCTTCGTCTCCAGCTGACCCAGACTCCAGGAGACTCAGACTCCTCCAACTCCTCCCGACCCCCGCGATCATGGTCCCCCGCATCTCGGTGCCCCAGGCCCTCGCGCGGAGAAGCTGTTGTGATCCCTGTTCTCCGTTGGCTTCCCCTTGCTACCGACAATACTTCCCTCCCCTGCATCATGCCGTTTAAACCCTCGACCGACATGGCCACTTAAGCTTGACCCAACGACCCCTCCGCAGGAGACGGTCCAGATTCTCAGGGGGTCCAGTTGCCCGCTCATCGCCCTGTTCGCCTACGGACGGAAGAATTCCTGGTAGCCTGGTGGATCAACCTTTTGGACTCCTCCCTCGTCTTCCTCGAGCGCGCTTCGGTATCGTTCACCTACCACCGGCCGGCCCAACGGGACCCCTCCGCCATCCCTGAAATGGAGGTCAAGGGGGGACCCGCCAACCCATGCGAGGTTCCCATGGGATTGCCTTAAGAGGCAACAAGCGGCCTTGGCATTCGGGATTCACCTCGACTTCTGCAGACTCTGGCGATTGGAGTGAGGGAAAGCTGAGCATGCTCCAGGGGAGAAAGAGACCGACAGGTGCGTGTGTGGGCGCGCGCACATACATGTACGCATACACACCTGGGCATATGCAGGACGAGGGACCACGTTCGAGCGGAAGCTTTTCCGATCCTCTGTCGATGACGGTTCGGGAGAGGTATAAGAAGCTCGAGATCCTCTCTCGATACGACCCTGCCAGACGACAGAAACGGCAGCAGAAGCAGCTCAGCAAGCAGAAGCAGCTCAGCAAGCAGAAGCAGCTCAGCAAGCAGAAGCAACTAGTTTTCTCGGTCTGAGGCAGAAGACGACAGAGCAGACAAGAAATAAATCAACCATGCGCTCCCTCGCGTCCCTCGCCCTCGCCCTCGCCTCGACAGCGGCCGCGCGCGACTTCATCGAGCGGCCGCACGCCGAGGCGCACCCGCTGAAGCCCTACAAGGCGTTCCCGGCGTCGACGCCGCGCACCAAGACGTGCTTCGTCAAGCCCAGCTGCACCGAGGGCCGCGACGACTCGAAGAAGATCCTCGCGGCGTTCGAGGCGTGCAACGACGGCGGCACCGTCGTGCTCGACCGCGAGTACACCATCTGCGAGCCCCTCGACCTCCGCTTCCTCCGCCACGTCGACGTCGCCATGACGGGCACGGTGCGCTTCTGCGACGACATTGACTACTGGCTGCCGCGCACCTTCAAGTACCAGTTCCAGGGCGCCTCGACCTGGTGGGTGTTTGGCGGCGAGGACGTGCACATCTACGGCGCCGGCGTCGGCACGCTCGACGGCAACGGCCAGGCCTGGTACGACCGCTTCGCCACCAACAAGACGCTGCAGCGGCCCATCCTCTTCGTCACCGACGGCCTCCGCGGCGGCTCCGTGACGGGCCTCAAGCTGCGCAACTCGCCCAACTGGCACAACCTCATCGCCAACTCGTCCGACGTGCTCATCTCGGACATTGACATCTTCGCCCGCTCGTCGTCCGCCAACGAGGCCAAGAACCTCGACGGCTGGGACACGTACCGGTCCGACAACATTGTCATCCAAAACTCGCACCTCGACCACGACGACGACTGCGTCTCCTTCAAGCCCAACAGCACAAACGTCATCGTCCAGGGCCTCACCTGCAACTCGTCGCACGGCATCTCCGTCGGCTCGCTGGGCCAGTACCCCGAGTTCTTCGACGTGGTCGAGAACCTGTACATCTACAACACGTCCATGTCCAACGCCGTCGACGGCGCCCGCCTCAAGGTCTGGCCCGGCTCCGAGACGGACTTCCAGCCGGGCCTCGGCGGCGGCGGCGGCGCCGGCTACGTCCGCAACGTGACCTACGAGCGCTTCCACTCGCGCAACAACGACGCCGCCATCCGCATCGACCAGTGCTACGGCGAGAAGAACGCCACGCGCTGCGCCGAGTTCCCCTCCCTCATGCGCATCACCGACGTCGTCTTCAAGGACTTTACCGGCACCGTCTCCAAGCGCTACGACCCCCGCGCCGGCGCCCTCATCTGCTCCACCCCCGACACGTGCGACAACATTCGCGCCTGGGACATTGACCTCAAGACCCCGTCCGGCAAGGCCCCCGAGTGGCAGTGCCGCAACGTCGAGGAGTCGCTGCTGCAGCTCGGCGGCAAGGGCTGCATTCCGGGGTGAGCGCCGCCGGCCTCGAGCAAAGGCCATGCCATGCCATGCCGTGCCATGCCATGTGATGCCACGGAAGAAAGAGGCCGGGTGGCCTTGTCCCGCCATGTATATAGATCGAGCGGTTAATGATCATACGCACCAGGCTCTCCACTTGTCGCCTGCTGTGCATGTGTCGCCCTGTATCCAAATCAGCAGTCTGTTCGCGGCTTCTGTCATGATCATTGTTGCATAGTGTGTGTATGTGTGTGACCATCCAGTTGTCCCTGGCACATGACTTCCAGGCGTACGACCTCCCTCATCGCCGAGTCCCACTCCCTTGGGTAGTGAGGGAATTCCAGGGTCTACACTGCTGGCATTAGATCCACATCTCCGACTTCGTCCTCGTCGGCCGCAAAGGCAGGGTAGAGCCCTAGTGTTAGGGATGCAGGAGCCGGGCATCAAGGAGGGTAGGATGGGCATCTACTAGTCTTCCATCAGGTTCAGTTGGCGGTATAGTTCCAGGACGCGTTCCTGGTTGAGCCACCCGGCCTCCACGTTTAGTGCGCCATGTATCAAGTGGGATCGGTCCTCTGTGTATCGGGCATGCGTGAATCGGAATAGGTGCATAAACAAAGCTATTCCGTGTAGTTCATGTAACGTAATAGGCTAGGAAGGCAGCCAGGGAGATAGTCGGTACCTCATAATTGACGGTGAGGCGTCTATTCGAGGGGTCATGAGCCAACGACTCCGCTTCATGCTTTGGGCTCAGGAGGATGCGGGCCTAGGTTAGCATTCCGGAGACTGCTAGGTTCAATGGGATGAGGTCTGCCTTTGTATTGTCTAAGCCTAAGCCCTGCATCAGAAGGCCGATCAGTTCTATAGGCATCTCCAGCACCCCTGTGTGTGTGGACCGAGCAATCGAATCACATGCGCGGGGGTTCTTGGTATTTTGGTCTTTTTGCTGACTTGACACGCATCCAGACGTCCTGTGACATTGGGACGGCACCCCGTACGCCGAAGGACTGAATGGTTGAGACTGCCTTTTTTTAATCTTTCCCCCGTTGCGACCCATCCCTCGTGTCGAACAACCTAAGCAGACCCCTGTACCCGAAATTCCTTCCTCGAAAAAAAACAAGCACATAAAACAGCAGCGCAGCTAGAAGACCCAAACGTCATACGAAAGAGCCTAAGAGGCCATGTACGTGGCGGGATCGACGCCGTCCTTGGGAAACTCACTAGAAAGAGCACAGTTAGTATACCAGAGCTCCAGCGTTGCATGGCACAAAAGGGGGGGGCGGAACATACGGAAGAGCGACCTCGAAGCGCTTCTCGATCGCGGCCAGCACCTCCTTGTCGCCGTCAGTGCTGACAAAGGAGATGGCGAGACCCTTGGTGCCGAAACGACCGGCACGGCCGACGCGGTGGAGGTACGAATCAGCATCACCGGGCAGATCATAGTTGATGGCCAGGTTGATACGCTCAATATCGATACCACGTCCAAAGACGTCCGTGGCGACACAGATGCGCTTGTTGAAGTCCTTGAACTCCTTGTAGCGGCGAATACGCTCCTCCTGCGACACGCCCGAGTGCACGGCGATCGAGGGGAAGTTGCACTCGCGCAACAGCTTGTCAAGCTCGGTGGCGCGCAGCGTGCTCTTGACGAAGATGATGACCTGGTTGAACTGCAGGTCGTCGAGGAGCTCGTTGAGCTTGCGGTTCTTCTCACGCTCCTCGAGCTTGATGTAGTACTGCTGAAGACCGTGGAGCGTGAGCTTCGTGTCCTCGTCGACGTAGTGCTCGGTCGGGTTCTGCATAAACTTCTTGCAGATGGGCTTGACCTCGTCGGAAAGAGTGGCCGAGAACATCATGACCTGCTTCTGGGTGGGCGTGGCCCGGAAGATTTCCTGTACGTCCCTACGCATGTCTGGTCGGTGTCAGTAGAGCTCTCGGCCGTGTCCCGCAACAGACAGACTTACCAATCTGGTCGAGCATCTTGTCGCACTCGTCGAGAACAAAGATCCTGACGCTGCCGAGGCGAAGCACCTTGTCGCGGACGAGGGCGTTCAGACGACCGGGGGTGCCGACAATGATGTGAGGGCAGGTGTCCTTGTTCTTGATCGTCTCAACATCCTTCTGGATGGGCGTACCACCGTAGAAGACGCCCGTCTTGATATCGGGCATGTACTTGCTGAAGCGGTTGTACTCGTTGCGGATCTGGAAGGCCAGCTCACGAGTGTGGCACATGACGAGGACGGAGACCTCGCCAGCGACGGGCTCGACCTGCTGGAGGGTCGTCAGGACAAAGACGGCCGTCTTTCCGAGACCAGACTTGGCCTGGCAGATGATGTCACCACCGAGGAGGGCCTGGGGGATGCAGGTTTGCTGGACTGTTCGATCGACCGACGTTAGATAGGATTCCAAGAGTGAACGGAAGGACGATGAGCAGGTCGAAAGGTCCGTCCATCAGCGCGGGAGCCATGTATCGTGCCGTGTCGTTTGCCAAGAGAATTGCGTTGCCGCGTTTGCCATTTCCTCCTTGGGTGCCGCCCCCAAATGGCCCCGAAATCGATTTTTCGTGACATGAAGACGAACCAAGTCGCACAGGACGTTCGCCGCCTCTGCACATCCGACCTGACTGAGGCCGGCGTGCGAGTCGGCGTGGCGGGTTCTTCTCGAGCTCTCGACGCGCGATGCGGGAGACTTTGTCTGGCAAGAAACAGCCCTAACAGGTGTCTGCGCCCTTGGGGTCACAGAGACGACGTGGGCCGCCTCAGTCCCCAAGGCGGCGACGATGACGACCATGCTCTCTGGAAAGAAACGGACGAGGCCACTTCCATATACTGAAGTACCGTGTCCGTGAAGACTTGTTCATTTGGCTTATTTCGAGGATCCGGCAAGACGAGATGGATGGCTTGGAAATCGATGGACTTGGCTTCGCGCGATGGACGGACGTTTTGACGGGGAGGGGGTGATGATGATGAGATGGACGGGTTAGGGTATGGACTCATGACTGACCCTCCGAGGGATGCTCGAAGCCGCAATCACCGATGGCACGAAGAAGTTCGGGCTTCAGCAGAAAGTCGCGGAAACCGGTGGCGTGAATGCCGACGTAGCTGCCCTTCTTGTCGACACTGTTACCAGTGGCAGCGGCATCGGCAGCGCCCTTCTTGCCGTTGGAGGCGGCGGCCGTCTCGTTTGTCTGGAGCTCCTCATCGGAGTAGTCGATGAGGTCCTCTTCCTGCTGGCCGGACATGTTGGCGGTGTTGTGAAGCGGGGACTGGAGATGCGTGTTGGGATGGGCCCGATGTAGTACGGATCGATCAGGAGCGGAGCCTGGTCGAGAGCGGTGATGCGACTTGGGCGTGAAGAAGAAGAGAAGAAGCTCTACTGCAACACGACGAAAAGTGTTGGCTGATTGCTGGAGATGGAGGGGTGAAAGGTCGATGGAGGGCAACGGTGTAGGGACGCGTTGCGATGGGGTCGGGTTGAGTGGAGGGAGGAAGCTGATGCGGCAAGGTGGGCGAGGCAGTTGCACGGTCAAAAGCTTTCCTGGGCGAGCTGGGCTGAACGCGATCACGTGAGGCTGTGCTCTTTGTCTGATTGAGGACTAGCGCCGTTCTTGGGGAGCAAAGGCAAAGGCAAAGGCAAAGGCAAGGAAGGAGCACCCAAGGCACCAGGCACCCAGGAGCGTTTCGCCACGTTTCGGGAGGCGCTGACTCATCTTTTCTTCTGATCGCTGTGGCTTTTTCATGATTCACTTACTGAAGATCACTTTGACTGAAGAATCAAGTATACCATCACAGACGGTACGAGACAGTACGGTAACGACAGATCAACAAGCACGGGCGTCAATCAGGCGAAGAGAAACTCGTCATGGCAAAGGCCAAGAAGAAGCCGAGTGAGAACGTCCAGAACAGACAGCAGTACACGCGCATCAACTACCTCCATCAAGCGGCCGCCTATCTTGCAGTACAGAATGCTGCAAAGACGAGTGCTCAAGGATTCGACAAGCACGGTCCATCAGCAATGACAGAAGATGCGAAGAACCCCGGACACGAGAATGTGGCCCGTCGGTTAGTCGCCGATATCAGTGCCGTCTCCAAAAAAGTGGTCATCAGACCAACGCCCGCCATGAGGAGGACCGTGTGCAAAGCCTGCGATGCGTTTCTCATCGAAGGCCACAACTGCACGACGACGATTGACAATCTGAGCAAGCAGGGGAGGAAACCATGGGCCGACGTCATGGTCATGAAGTGCCACACATGCGGCCACGCCAAGAGGTTCCCAGTTAACTGTCCGAGGCAGAAACGGCGGGCATTAAGGGGGGATGCATCCCTCGACGGCCATGTGCAAGATGCCGGCTGAGCCGAGTCTTGTTGTCTGAAAGAAGAGCACACAACTCCTCAGTCTCTGAAATGGCCACCTTATATGATGGCAACCCGACTAGACAGGACGGACGCGGTTGAGCCTCCATGGAGCTTTCCGTGCGCACCAATCACCATGAATGACGTCCCATATCTTACGTGGCCAGCGCCGTCTTGAATTGCCATGTCCTCTTGGGCTTGCCGAAGCATGCGACGAATCCGCGCGGCTGCAAGGCGACTGAGACCAACAGGCAGGCAGAGATGCCTTCAGCACATTGAATCAGGAGTCGGCCTGCCCTGTGATATACGGCCAGAGCCGTCGCATATACACATCTACACGCCGAAGAGAGAAGAGAACCATAGCCATTACAATGATACCCATTTCTCATGAAAGAAGAACCATCTACGCTGCCCATAGGGCCGTCATCCATCTCTCGTGACCCAAATTCATAATTCATAGTACAAGCCGCGTCATCCCCCAGCTCCGCTTCCAACACGAGCAACCGCCCAAGAAAATCAAACGAAGAAGAAAAACGGATCATCGTTGCTGACCTCCCTGCTCCCGATTGATCGCCTCCTCCCCGAGCACCTTGCTCGCCGCCATGAACAGGCCGCCATGCCAGCTGCCGAGCCCCCGCATGCTCTCCGCCTGCACGCTCGTCATGCGCACGAGGTTGTCCGTGTCAGCCAAGTTGGCGGAAAGCTGCGCGAGCTGCGCGTGGAGGTGCGTCTGCCGTCATGTTGTCAGCCTGGGTGGGAGTTGTTCCATCATCACTTCTCGGCGCATGCCACCCCTCCGGACTCCGGGCTTCGGGGGCAAGGGGAAAGGTTGAGGGGGGGGGAAAGGGGGGACGCACCAGCTGGCGGTTCTTGACGGCGCTCCCCGAGGTTGCCAGGGACGGACGCGAGGCGTCGCTCCTCTGAAAGCCGCTCGCGTTGGAGGTGCCGAAGCTGCGACTCGTCATTGCGAGCGTGATCGTATCTCTGGTGGTGGCGCCTCGAACCAAGGAATATCATAAGCGATGCGTTTAGATATCCACACTGGCTTGGTGGTCTCAGCCGGTGGTTTCTTCAAGTTCTACCGTGTGTTTGTCGTGATGAGCTGGTGTTTACTGGCAATATGCCCCTTCCTCAGTACCCAGGTGCCCCACCCCCACTCTGCGCGTCGGCGGAGCCCCACCTTTGTCTTATAGCGATGGTGCTGCTTCAGCAGCCACACTGTTGCCTCATTTCATGAGTCGCTGGTCGATAAGATCATGCATAGTAGATGTCTTGAATGAAATCAAACATTATGCGTCATAGAATGTACTTGGAAGAAATCTGGAATGGCTTCATTACGGCCCGTCTGCTGGCCATGTCTTCTCCCCGTCTGTCTGCCTAACTAGCCTGTCACTGCTGTTATCAGCAGTCACCGCCTCAACGGAACGGATTCCAGTCTTCCTCCGCCTTGAGCCATCCTGACTCATACTGCACCGATTCGACAATCTCTCTCGTCACCTCGAGACGAAGAGGGAGTGGCATGATGGAACGACCCAAGCGGAAAGCCAAGAAAAAAAAAACCAAGCCAATCAAGAGCCTCTTTGGGCCGAATCGATGGAGGCTCTCCTCATCCACTAACTGTCGCTGCTTTCATATGCTTGCTTGCCCATGGCCTCTGACCTGAAACCATGCAAATGATGGACGAACAGGTGACTTTACCCGTTCTTGTATTGAAGAATTGAAGAAATAAATAAAAAGATAATCACGCCCTGTCCTTTGTCTATGTTCATTGCTTGTGGTTTCCTAACCGAGATGGGGGGCCCATGGCCGCATCGTTGGTTCATGATAAGGAAACACCCGTACAAAAGAAAGAAGACCCGAAAGTCTCATATGATACACGAATCCTGATACCGCTACCGTCGGTCGGTGGGTAAAGGGGCCGTATTAAGGCTGCATGAGCAGATTGAAGTTTCCCTTCAAGACTTGTGTGTCCGTCGTGTCGAAGCCGAGGGTCGACGCGCGTCGGACGAGTCGGCTTGTAGAGTTTCGCTGGCCCGGCCTGGCTCTGTCATGATGCAAACGCGGTTGTAATGGCTTTTGATCGGCTTGCTGCTAGATAACGAGGTAAGGACTGATGAGATGCAGTGGCATGATGTGTGAACCGGGATAATGAACATTGTGTCGTCAAACTCGTTCAGTGGTCGTCGTACGTCGCGAAAGGAAGCACCTAGCGCACGCCCACAGTCGGTCGAGGACCGAGGCTGCTCTGACTGCTGTGAGCCGATGGCTCTGTGTCAATGTGAGAATCACCACTACCCGCGCTGGCGCTCGCACTACCAGTCAGACTTCTCATATTCTTCGCGTTGGGTGGGTGAAGACCGCTCACCCCGACATGCTGCTCGACCTGCTGCGGCGCCACCGCGTTGCCGTGTCCAGGCGGGTATCGGGGCACAGGCTGCCGAACGCTCTCCGGGGGCGAGGGTCGCCTGCCGTTCATCGGCTGGGGGCCAGGGAAGCCGTTAGGAGGAGACGGCCTGCCCCCGCGCATCGAGGGGCTGTAAGGGTTTCCTGGAGATTGACTAGCTCTGCGAGGAAACCCGCCGTTCATGCCCATTGGCGGCGGACCGCCAGGGCCGTACTGAAGCTCGTCCAGTCGGGCAGCTGTTAGAGAGTTCGCCCTCGACTCGGCCTGCATTGCACCCCGATCGACAGTCCCGTATCTGTTGGAAGAACACGACATGAGGGGATCCTCAAGAATATTGTCCGTCACGTTTGGCATGTTGACGACTTGACTCGAGCGGTTGCGGCCAAAGCTGGGACGGAATCTTCCGCCTCTTGAGGCAGGCATGCCCGTGTCGAATTCGGCGTTCTTTCGAAACTGGGCCGCCGAGGGACCATTCGGGCCATTCGCTTTCCGGTTCTTCCGCGACGTGACGCTCATCATGTCAAAGTTATCTGGGTCTGCCATGGGCGTGATGGGGGCGTTCGTCGGATCGAAGTAATCGTCATCATCGTCATCGTCGTCGAAGCCCCCGTGAGCGCTCGGCTGTGCGCTGTGACGCATCGGATGAGGGCCCCTCCGCGGGGGCGGCGGCCCACGCCTTCCGCGGCCCATCCGCATTTCTTGTTCGCGTAATGCCAACTCACGTTGGCGAAGCTCCAATTCACGCTCACGGATGCCCACATCGCCGCCTTCAGGGCCATAACCCGGCTCTCCTCCCTCAGGAATATCGTCGTAAAGGACTAGGTGCGAGAACTCCTCCAAGTCATTTGCTTCCATAGAACCTCGCCTCGATGGGGCGCGCGATCCTGGGCCAGGGTATCCATTGGGCAGCCCGTTCATTGACGGACGGCCGCCGTACCCGTTGGGAGGGCCGCCACCATTGACAGAGGGAGGACCTCGCCTCATACCTGGGCCTGGTCCGAGGTTCGACGAATTTCTGGGACGAGGTCCACGAGGCGGCATGCCGTTGCCATTAGGCATGCCGTTGGAGGGCATGGGACGCATTCCTCCGTTCATGCTAATCTGCGACGACATCCTAGGCAGTGACGGAGCGTTCGGGGAGGACGGGCCCATGGGCGCCTCGATCTTGGGCCTCTGGCGGTTGACGATGTTGAGATTGTGCATGACAGCATATAGTGTCTCGATGCGAGGGACAGGAACACCTGCGTCCTTGGCGAGCTTGATGGGTGAGCCCAGATACGTCTCGACTTCCATGGGACGCTTGGCGATGAAGTCTTGCCACATGATGCTTTCGGTCGTTGTCGGCTGTGTCATGTCGTCGATCGTTTTTTGCTTGAAGGAAGGGTCAAGGTTGCAGCCATGCGCCGAAGCGAGAGCTAACATTTCGTTGATCACCTCGGACACAAGGTCGCGAACACCAGTCTTCTCGAGCAGCTGGACGTGATTGGGCGTCTCAAATATAACACTGGCTGGGTGGAATGCGATCGGGCTGCGGCCGAAGTTAGCAGGCGACAGAGGAAGCAAGTTTTGTCTTGGAAACATACCCAATCACCCTCTCGTATTGTTGTTGCCGAATGTTGGGGGAAACCTTGCAATCCACTTGACCTGTGCTCAACGTCATGGCTAGAGCCTGAGCCATGTCTTCCTGAATCGAGGCCGGGATGTTCTCGTTCTTGTTCGCAGGGCCAACCCAAACCTCTGTCGAACCTTTGTGCTCAAACTCGCTTTGACCCAGTTGTGATAGCTCGGCATTCGATACGAGGGAGAGAACGACGTTTGTGGGGAATCGTTCTTCGATCGCGGCTTCGACGCCCAATGTATGCGTCGTGTTAACCAGGATGCAAGTGTGCTGCGGCGTGACAACGGCATCGATAACAGCAGCAAGGTCATACACATCCGGTAGGGCCTTCACACATAGAATAACATAGTCGTATGCGCCATCTCGTTGGCCTGCGGCGTCTTCGGGGGCACGGACAACTGTAAAGAACGACGGGTCAGTCGTCGACGAGCCTGGCATTTGTGATTTGAGAAGAAGAACATACCATGGCGGGGCTTGAACCTCTCGTTGCCAAACGTTGACGACCTGAAGTCCTAGTCAGCTTACGTCGAGGTCTCGAAGTAGAGCAGGATGGCGCGCAAAATTAGACTTACTTGAACGTCAAGCCGTATTGGGCAACATGTTCGTATCCTGACTTCCACACAAGTGTTACGTCGCAGGCATTAGAGGCCTGCAGACGCCATGAAAGAAACGCTGAAACCGGATTCCCTCCCACTACGCAGACAGTTAGTTCAAAATCCTCCATGGCTGCCTTGTGTGTCGGGTCCGAACGAGTCGGTTGAACATTTGGGGGTTGTTGAAAATAGACAAAGAAGTGGAACAGGCGTCGAGGTAAGTATTGGTACGATGTGAGAGAGGGGAGAGAAAGCAGGGCAAGATGATGGGTCAGGGGAGTGTCGAAGGCCGGGGTACGATTGATTCGCACAGACGGAGCTGGAGTCCAAGGGCGGGAGCGCAACGAATCTGAAGCCAGGAAATGGACGTACCTGAAAGCACCTTCAGCCGGGGTGTCATGGGTGCCATGATGGTTAGAGGCCCAATGGGGATTAGTGATGAGGCCGATTAGAGACCGCTGTACCCCTGCGCACCTGAAAAGTCGATGCGGGACGGGCGCTGGCTGTTGCGTGCCTGCAAGATTGCCCGGGTGGTTCGGGGGACGCTCGTCTACAGTCAGAGACCGGGGACGACGATATTGAGCTGCACTTGGTACCCTGCGGTGGCCTCGATTGAATTTGCTTCACACGAACTGCGCGTGGCACGTTGGCTGACCTGCGTGACGGGCAAGTCGGACTGACGATTGGAGACGGATAGAGATGAGAACCGATCAGTGACCCATTCGACTACTGAGAATAGGTTTCGCGGGATGCAGATGCGAGGGAATTCGGTAGCTGGGCGAATTTGGTGGCGTGCGTCTGCGGCCCACGTCGGCACGTCTGGAAGCAGGTGAGGCGCTGAGGCTGGGGCGTTCAGGCGATGACGATCAATGAATAGTTTAAAAACGAGCGTGTCGCCCTGGATCGGCGAGTCGGAGAAAACCTTTAAGAATAGTCGAGTCGCCTCTCTCGACCTTTTTTTCGCGATTGTGACACGATGGGAAGGGAGGACAAAGACGGCCAGTTATCGAGACCTGCTTGGACTTATCTTCCGACAAGTCTGCAGCAAGACGACGGGACGGACGTCGACTGGCAAGGTTCCTCTGTTGTAGTACTCCCCAAGTATTGCAGGACGAAGGAGCGCCTCTTGGACAGGCGAACACGGATTTGTTCGTGTTTGGTCGAAGAGAAGAGAGGAGCGTCCTCGATTCCTGCCAATCCGAGCAATATGGACAAGTCGGGCAAGTTGTCGCAGTCGTCTTGGAATCCAGTTCGGTATGAAAGGCAAAAAAAAAATTACGGGAAGGAAGAGTATGGAGAGGTCGGGAATGTTTGGATCTCGTGGTGACAAGATGGGTGATGGACGGAGGTGTTTTCGGGTGATCGGTTTCGCGTGACCGTGGAGATGGCGTTTGTGGACGTGTTCGTGGGCGATGTCCGTCAATGTCTATGGCAGCCAAAAAGGTGAGGCGTCTACACCCAGCTTGGTCGCTATCTGGTGTTGCGGGTGCTGGGTTTCCGTACCTCGCAAGTCGGTCGGTTGGTGTAGGACGAATTCACTTCACACAACCTGACGCAGCAAAACGCAGGAGCAAGCTTGCTCTCAATGTTCCGTTGGTGCTGGCAGGAAACAAGGGATTGGGAGGGGGAGGGGGTGGAAGGGGGAAAAAAAGAAGAACGCGTTGGCAAGAGAGAAGGTGGAGAGGGCCGCACGGTAGAGGCTGGAAAGAGGCTTGCAGCATACGTAGTGTGGTGTTAAGGCATGTCCGGGGAGCGGAAGGGATGGGAATGGGAGGTTTGGGGAGGAGTGCTCTGGGCCTGCCACTGCCTGGCTACCTGCTTGCCTGCCCACTCTGTCTCTCTCTCTGTCTGTCTGTCTGTCTGTCTACCTATCTGCCCCGGGGGCAGATGGGGGACAGGAGATGGGCGCGCTAGGGCCAAGGAGGCGCAGACGGAGGGGTGGGACGTGGATGACTGGGATTGACCAGAGGGAGGAACGGAGACCCAGGCGCATGCAGTAGGCGAGCGGGTCGATGATGCTGTAGTGCTCTCAGCGCTGTGGACACCCGCTGCCGCTGACGGGGGGGTGAGTGTGTGTCTGGAGGTATCTGCCAGGCATCAGGCTCGCAGTGCTAGGTACGGTGCCTTTTTCAGTGAGGTGAGGGTGGACACTCGGCACCACAGTGGGGGGGAGGGGGGGGGATCCGGCCTGGGTGAGCCGGGACGGACGTACACAGGGCAGAAACGAACAGACCACCTGAGGTGTGCGAGGTGAAAGGCACTGGAAAGACAGGGCACGCAGAAGAGCAACGATAGGCTTGCCGAGAGAGAGAGAGACACACACACACGACCATACAGATGCGAGAAGAGAAACAAGGGCAGAACGACAGTGGCATGAAGAAATCTCATGTCAGACCTCGCATCTCATCGATGCGGAATGGAAGGACGGCAGACACAAGAGAACGGAAGGCGGAGGTACTTTACTGGTACATGAGGTAGTCCGTTGCCAAGGGCGCCCTGTTTTCCTGGAGCGTGAACATCTTGCACACAGAGCGTGCGTTGTGGCCAGCTTGATACAACAGGAGAAGCATGCAATTGACTTTCTCTCCATCTCCATCCAAGGCATCGCGACTCGTTGCTGCGCTCACAACCCTCTCTTTTCCTTTTCCTTTAATTATTTTATTTTCAATGGTCTGTTAGTCTGCTACCATTTCAGGGGCTGGCCAGTTGCGGATCGTCGGGTCGCAAGTGAGAGCCGCAGATGGGACGTCTTGGTCAATGGGCGATCCCGCCTGATCTGATTCTGACAAGATCCAGCGACCAGGGGCCCATTGTGTGACATAGGCACATGGAATCCCCTCTGTATAGGCGGGAGTAACAATCCATGACCAGAACGCCCGGGCCGGTTGACGACCAGAGTCGGCATCATCTGCTCAAACATGCTACTCTCACGGTCCGAGTTGATTATGCGAATTCTTCCTTCTCTGGGACGTCGAGCTTCTGGGCTGACGGACAAGCACAAGCCTTCAAGCACAAGCCTTTTTTAAGAAGTCGTATTCAGATACCTCACGAAGCCCTTGATCGAGATGAGCCGCAGAGGGTGATCCCAGAGTAGGTAGGTAGGTACCTAAGGTAGCGGGGAGGGGGGGGTTGAAGTCGGGTTTACCCACTAAGACTGGTGCCTTTCGTGTTGAGGACAACTGTAAAAGGCAGAGAGCAGGCAGCGTCGCAGCCAATGAACCATCGATGTTGTCTATTATTCTGTCGCATTCGGGCTCAGCCTCTTGCTTTCCTCGTGTCGCGCAAGGTTCAAGTTCGTGTTCACTTGGTCTGGATACCCACCCGCCTCTAGGCAGCCGTGGCTACCCACAACCCATGTCGCTCCCATTGGCCGTGCCGGCCATCGGCCGCAGGTCCGGATTGCGAGATCTTCTTCATCAAGACACAGGTCAAGAGGAATGGAATGCAATGCATCTTGCCGTGGTCAAAGGATTGCATGACGAGAATGGGGGGCGAAGATGGGGCTCGGGAGAGCAAGACCCTCCGTGGCTACCTACCTACCTAGGTGCCTCACCTAACCTTTCCTTTCCCCAGACAGCACCAGTGATGAAGAACGAAAAGGAGGGAGGTACATGAAGGGTACATCCTTCCACGGAATATACGTACGGTGCTGATCTGCATCCAACGCGGGAAAGGGTCGTCAAGTTGAAGCCAAGGAATGTTCTTGGGGCAGTTACCGGGCACTTGCAAAAGAAGGTTTGATCGGGAATTGGCTGGTTTGCTGAGCAGGAGCGCCGCGCCACCCTACATGGTACCTCCCCCAAAAGGGCATCGCCCGGAAGAGCTAAGAAAGAACGACCACCGAACCAGTATCATGAACTTGGTCAGCATTGCCGGCCGGTCAGAATCCTACCTACCTAACTACCCACCTACTTGCATGTAGGTGCCTATCTAGGTAGGTAAGGTAAGGTAGCTGGTGGTGCACCCAGGCCTTCGAACATCACCCGGCATAGACACGGATCGGTAGCTTGGAATCGAGGGATAACACATATTGGCCGGCCTTGCCGACGCCATTTTTCGCCGTGGAGGTTCAGTGTCAGTATCGGTCATGTCATGCAATCCCGGTCGCGGCTCGAAGCGTCTTGGGCCCCAACTTCCCTTGAGGGATCCATCATCCACGATTCCACGACCGCCATGGTCAATCTTATCGACCAGCGACCTAGGTGCCACATCGCTCCGATCAGCCCGATGAACTGACAGGTACGGTCCCGGTACAGCAGCTGCCACTATTCATTTGGCCATGATGGGAGCATGTTGCGCTCGGCAAGCAGCGGAGCCCGAGGCACGCCGCCACGACACCGGCACTCGCGGGGTCTTTGCCCACCCGTCGACTCTACCTACATTGTTACCGCCAGTGTCAAGACTGCTGGTGGAGGTTGACATGTTCTCACAGTACAGTCACCACGTCCACACCCTGTCCGAACTAGGTACACTACATTCCTTGTTGAGATCGGACCATTATTGTGAGCATTGTGGACATTCTAGCGCCACATAGGCCCCTCTCCTTCTTTTCTTGCGTGCTCCGCGTTCTTGGCGACACTGCCCATCAGGATGCCGATTCTCAGAACCTGAGGAACAAGATTCAAGCAACACTTGCTGTCCAAACGCAATCAACGGAGATGAGAACGACCAAAGACAGAGTCAGAGTGTCCTCTTGGCTCTTTGACTCGGTCGCCAATCCGCCTGTCCAGCACAACACGCAGCGAAGAAAAAGTAAAACCCAGCTGAGCAGGGTCCCTTGAAGCCTCTGAACCCCCTATTAGCTCAGTCTCTCTCGTCGACTTGTTCAATCCGCCCCCATCAGCTGCCCGTCAGCGCAGAACCAACTCGCCCGAGTTTCCCATCCCTCAGCTTGGCCTCATCCGCATCCATTTTGCTAAAAACCGGTCCCCCTCCCACATTGCCGGAACAGCATTGGCCAGGCCCATACCCATCAGTGTCATTCTGGTACTGTGTACATGGAAAAGCCCTCGCTGGCAGGCCAGCTACACACAAAAGGGGTGGTACAGGATACCCCGCAAGGGCCCAGAGAATTAGAGCCCCTGGCGGAAATCTCGCGATCCACCACGTCGTGTGTGGCGCCCCTCGGCCAACTTTTCGCAACAAGAGCATGGCTGCTCCTCTCTTCCTAGTCGCGATGGCATGTCACGGTGCTAGCAGTGGAACCCTGTCCTTGCCTGGGCAAGGCCCTGCTACCAGTCGTGGGCAAGTCTTCGCCTTAGCCTCAATGTCTCACGGGCACACCGGCCGGCCGCTAGATCAGATCCCCATCCCAACGTCGCATTTGTCACCAGCTTTTTTCCAGCTTTTGCTGCTCAGCAGCCAAGATGCCTATCACCTTTGTAGTGGCTTGGTCTTGGCAGGAGACGACCACCTTATGGCGAAGCTCCCAGGGCCCCTTGCAGGCTGGTCAAAATTGACCGAAGGGTCGAACCGAGCGCCTCGCATCCTGCAACCAAAACTTGGATGGGAAATTGGGAACACCGCACTTTGCTGTGCTTATCACCAAGGCCTTTGACGCCGCAGCGGAAGAGGAAGCGCAGGATGTGTACCAGAGAGAGAGGGGTGGCCACCGCGCGTCCCTGACATCCGCAACCCCTGCAACCCCTTCTTGCCCCTGCAGCGGACAGAATACGCTTCGACCTCAGAGCTCGATGCAAATCGACTTTGATGAGCACTCACAGACTCACAGGCCTTGGCTGTAACACCCTGATGATTGGCATCATCGCCGAGCTGGTGGGCTTGCTGGGCGGCCTGGGCTACTGAACTCCGTTCCCGGCACTTCCCTCCAAAGCGAGCAACCCCAGAGGAAGTGCACTCGAGAGAGGCTGTGGCTTCATGTCGAATCGACCGAATCATCGTACCCGCAGCGCAGTGTGAATGTCTCAGCCATTGGCCAGACACTGGGATCTCCCCCACCACCACAACAAGCGACTACCGCTGATGGGGTCCTATCTCTTTCACGGTCGCATAAGGTGGAGGGAAGGTCGCAGGCTCCGTGTCTAGGTTTTCCCGTTCAATCAACAATCGGCGCGATGCTCGCAAGCTAGTCTGTTAGCTCGAGAATCCACCATCAAGCTTCAAGCTCAAGCTCTTCACATCTTTTCAATTTTTCCACGCCAGTCGCCTTTACGGCTACATTTCAGCGAGCCAGAGTGGCGATTCGTTTGGCTCTGTCAATCATCTGGTGAAGTACTCTGTTTCTTGTCACTACTGCCGCTTCAGTTTTTTTTGGTTTTTTTGGGTTTTTTATTGTGCTGCCCGTTTGAGACTTCGAAGGAAGCATCACGCGCGTCATGTTTTCTCGCTTTCTCGCTTTCGTATGTACATTCGCATCTGCGGTAGTGGACCATCTGGCGGCTGGCGCTTTTCTGGGCGCACAACCACAGTATGTCTGCCCTGGCCTCAAGCGAACGACGCAGGTGTCTGGTCCTCTTCCCTAAGCATGTATCTCCAGCACCTCATTATTAACCGTGCTTCATTGGCCAAGGATGCCTCCTGACAAATGACGTACTCGATGTCACTCCGGACGATCCGCGCGCACGCTATGGGCATAGCGCTCAGGGGTTGGGCCGCGCCACAATCACGGCTCCCGTTCCGTCTCATCTCTTCTTTGGGTCCCGAAGAACCTGGAAGCCAGCCCGCCCTGGTAGCAGGAACTCTGGTCTGATTGACAAGCAAGCAGGCCTTGTCTGCTTGGGCGAACTGTGTGACACGACGTGGCTGCCACGAGCGACTCATTTGTGTGGCTTTTTGGGGGATGGAAGCTCGCCGCTTCATTCGCTTGATAACAAGACCACATCAATAGCGGCTGGCAGTTTGCTTGTCAATGTCTCTCTTCTTCACCAAATGGGTGCTGCAACATGGTGATCGACAACGTGTAACGAGCCGGGCATACATGGTACGTGAGCTTCATTCGTCACCAGCAGCGCTCACTCCTTTCTTGTACCTCCTCAATGTGGCGGGCAGCTCGAAGAAGAGGCAGGCCATTCGTTGCACGTCCGAAAGTGCCTGTTCTCAATTCGCATCCTGCCCTGTCTCAAGTGCCGCCCTATCTGCGCCTGTGCCTGAATATTGAACAACGGCCCCTCGGGTACATCTGGCTTAGCCTTGGCTTGGCGGCAGTACTACTGGAAATAGCCATCCATGCAGGCCCGTCCTGCTGGCGAGTGACATGTTGAGAATGACTCAAGCTCCTCGATTGGCTTAGCTATCTATCAGTCGGTGCTTTTTGGTGTGTTGGCAAAGCTTTTACTGAACCAATCAACAAGCAATTGCTTCTCATGACAGGACATCAACGTGCCAGTTCACAGTTGACGTGCGGTCTATTGCTTTTTCAAGCTAACGTCGCAGTCGAATTGATTCTCAGCAGCTCTACTAGCGTGTAAGCTTGGACGCACACGGACCTGACATGCTGCTGTGATTCTTCTCCTCCCGGACCATCCGTTCAACGTCAATACTACCACTCCATCCGGCGCAAAATCTCCGGCCCGCGCGGTTGCGCCTCATCCAATGTCTTGGGATGGGCAGGCTGGGCCGTCCTCGCAAGGTCCGTCAGGCGCGAGCATTTCCGTCCAACGAATACATGCTCACGCGTTGCAGCGTCAACTGTTCGGTACGGTCCGCGCGAGACAACTGTTATAGTTCGCCGGTATTGTACAGTAGCTTGTGACTGGTGATGATGCGTCGGCCATGACACTGCGCTGGTGAAGTATATCTCGGTCATTATGCACCATTATCATTCGGGTCTTCCGACGGCATGCACGCGTTGGGTAGCCAGAAAGACAACCTGATGCATTCTCATCTCGTGATCGTCCTGTATCCATCTACACGAGCATCCGTGAAGCCTGGCGCAATGTTGCACAAACGTATACTTCTTGTCTGTAAGATAACCTGTTATCAGGGCATATTGAGAGCAAAAAAGCCTAGTGGCGGTAGTAGACTTGTCCTAAGCTTCCGGGGCCGACGATTGCCCGCTTGGTGCCGCGAAAGCTTGTGTTCGGGGCTTGTCTAGCCATAAACAACCGGCGGGCCATCTTCATCCATGGAAACCAGAGGATGAAGACTCTGCGCCGGTTTCATTCGCCTGACAAGAGTGGCCGCGGCCAGGCACAATGTGCCCTCCCAGCCCGGGAGGATTATTGCCGGCAATACACTCACCTCTTCTGCTACCCTGCAACCCAATCACGATGGCATGGCTAGGAAGTTGGGCGTCATGCGACAACGTCTGCGTCTCTTGTAAGGAGGAAATAGCGAACCATGGTCGACGGTATATTTGCAGCTCCTATGAAATAGCCACACGATGATCCTGACAGCTGTTTGGCTCCTTCCAGTCCGTCCACCCGCCCAGAACGCCTTGCTAACCTCACCAAAATACACTAGCCATGATAACTGACCTTTGACAGCCCCCGCGCCGCGGCGGTTACCGTTTCCGGATGTCGCGAGAACGCCTCACAAAAGACCACGGTGCACTATTCGGCCAAACTGGCCCACCTCTAGCCTCCATCCGGGCCACGAACGATGTTTTTTTCCAGACGTTGAGAGGAACAGAGAGAGAAAAAAAAATCACGCGGCGGCGCCGATGCTGCGCTTGTGGATCTGCAGACACCTTCCAAAGTCGAGCTTCTTGCCCTCGGTGGGCATGTGCTCGCCGCTGGCGATACACAGTACACGCATGCGCTCGTCGTACCTCAAGCCCGTGAGCAGCTTCGGCGTGATGAGGAAGTACTGGCTCGTGTGCTCGCGGCACGCAATCTCGACCATGCGCTCGTGCACCATGCGCTCGTTGCGCGGGTCCATGCCCTGGTTGATCTCGTCGACGACACGGAAGGGCGAGCGCGCCATGGACTGAAGCGCCATAAGGAAGAAAATGGTCGACACGGCGCGCTCGCCGCCGGATTGTCGGTGCTGGTCGAGCTTCTGCAGAGTTTCGCTTTGCCTGCCGTGAATTGTTAGAATCCCGCGCATACCAGTGGTCGCGTGATAAGATATTTGCGAGGGAAAGAAGCGTACCTGAACTTGACCATGATGTCTAGTGCCCACTGGTCAAAGTCTTCGTCTTTGTGAATGCGCACCTCGCCACCGCAGTTGATCTGCTCAAAGTTGTATGCGAACGCGTCGTTGATCTGCCTGACAAGCTCCTCAAGCTTCGGCTCCCATTTCTCGCGGAGCCTTGTGATCTGTCGCATCCGCTGGTCGCTCTTGCTCTGTGCTTCTTCCATCTCGCGACGGATCTTTTCAATGTCTTTGGCTCGCTTGTCGTAGTCACGCATGGCATTGGGGTTGGCGTGGAGCAGCTCGAGCTTGGCGCTCTCGGCCTTGATCTCGTTGTCGATATCCTCGAGCGTCTTGCCGGCAGCCATCTCAGTGAGGTAAACCTGTCGTGCAGCCGGATCTGCCGCTTGGACGCACATCTCCTGAACCTTGTCGTGAGCTTCTCTGGCCTCATACTTCGAAGACTGTTTCTCCCTCTCGACCTCAGCAATCTTCCTCTTCTCATGGTCCAACCTTTTCACGAGTGTTGTGTTCTTATCCTTGAGCCCTTCAAAGTCAGACCGTGCCTCAATCTCACGGATCTGGCCCTCGATGAGTGCTTGCTGGGCGTCGTGCATGTTTGCGATATTCTGCTGATACGTCAAGCCTGCACGAGCAGTCTCCAGTACAGCTTTATCGCATTGCACTTCAAGATCGATAATGACTGCGCGGCACGACTCCAGCTCGTCTTGCTTCTTAACGCCCAACTTCTTTTCATGTTCTGTTCGACATTAGCTCAGCTTGCCACGTCACGAATCTAGGTCACTCACCGAGCTTCGCTGGAATGGCTTGGTACTCGCTGAACTCCTTCTGGAGTACCTTTTTCTGTTCTTTCAGGTCCTCCTACACCGACATTAGCATTGGTACTTCAAGAAATTGAAGCTTGTTCTCTGACCGTCACTGCCAGGATGGACTCTCGCTGTGCGTGGTTCTCCTCGGCTTCCTTCTTGATGCTCGTGTTCTCCTCCCGAAGAACTGCCATGTTCTGCTTGACCTCGTCGAGGCGCCGTTGTAGCTCCTGCTTCTCGGCCAAATCCACTTCGTCTTTCCACCAACGGCCTGGCTGTATTTCGCGGGTTGTGTTGGAAACCGCCTTCAGGTCTCTTCGGCGTTTCACAGCATACAATTGATTACCGGTCGCCCAGTTTTGCACCTTGTCCTCCTGCATAAGAGCTTCGTATTGGGTCTCATTGACATCCTTGAGCCCGATACCTGCTAGATGAAGCTTCTTTTCGTTACAAAGCATTGCGAGGACCGGCTCGGGACCGCTCAACTGGTCGATCGCCCAGCAGTCAAAGCCCATGCGCTGGGCTTCCTCGGCGGGAAGCTTGTTGAACGACGAGAAGGAGCTGCGGCAGGTCCGGATGCTGACTGACAGCCCGAGCTTACCGTACAGTTGAGCGCTCAACTTCTTGTGGTCATCCACCGTCTGAGCGGTGAAGCACATGAAATCGTCAAGCTGCAGCATGGCTTGGATGTGGTCAGAATACCGTTTGTCCTTGACATTGCAGCAAAGCATGGGTGGCCCAAAGACTTCCTGCTGAAATTCTTCGCCATTTTCTCGTAGCCACTTCCAAGCTGCCGCAACGTCGGGGAAATGCTTCTCGAGGACCTTGAGTTGTTGTCCCTCTTGGGTATCCAGGTCAGAGAGATCCCGCGCCAGCGTGTTCTGCTCATCCCTGACCCGTCGGCCTCGCTCCTGGACATCGCGTATTCGCGTCTGTATCTGGCGATCCTCGGCCTCGAGCTCCCGAATCGAGTGTTCTTGGGCACGCTGAAAGGGGGGTTAAATTTTGTTCGGCAAGCAAGTGAGACGACACACTCACAATCTTCTGATTCCATTCTTTGGGGTCAAAATCAGACGGTTTGTTCTTCAGTCGCCGTTCCAGCTGACCGATCCTGGTCTTGATCAGGCCCAGCTCCCTCTTCTTCACATCGAAAACTTTCTTTTCGGCGTCTATCTTAGCCTGACACTGGGCCATCTCTTCCTGTGAGTTCTCACACGCATTCAGTGCTCGGTCTGCGGCCCCGTCCACGGCCCTGACTGCAGCGTGTCGGGCTTGGACGGCAGCAGCGACAGCAGCGTGATAGCGCTGTTTGCTGTTCACTGCTTCCAGGGCCGGGGCTGATTCGCTCTCCAGTTGCTGCAGGAGATGCCTGGCGTCTTTGTAGGCGCGCTCAGTCTCTCGGTATTTGGTACGCAGGAAGAGGTAGTGGGCGATCTTTCGGGCATCCCCCAAATCATCGATGCGTACCAGCGCCTCCTCTCTTTCTCGGAACCGGTCCACGTCCGCTTGCATGGCCTGCTGCCGGTTTTCGAGATTGGCTAGCGTCTCGGCGTGGGAGCCTGATCGCTGTTGAAGGTCCTTGTGGTCCTTGTGAAGTTCCTGTAGCTCCGTCTGCCACCTCAGCATTTGAGGGTCTGCTGCGGCCCTCAGGGTTTCGTGTAGCAAATCGACCGGCGTGCAACCGGCGAACTCGACGACCCGATCCTGGGGCAGGAATTGGCAAAGGTTGTCTACTTGGATACTGAGGTCCCTCATGAGGCCCTGGACGGCCTTGTGCGTCGCCTCCTTGCCGTTGAGTCGAAATCGGGAACTGTTGCGCTCACGGTCGATCTGGACCTGGACGACGTGGTTCCTCCGATCCTGCCGGCGCCTCTGGAGCTCAATCTCGATGGTGGCCGTGGCCTTTCCGTGCTTGACAAACTCTTTAACGCTACCTGCACGGCCTAGATGCTTGGGGCTGTACCCCAGGCCGAGGCAGATGGCGCAGACCAACGAGCTCTTGCCGGTACCGTTGGGACCGATGACCATGTTGAGGTTGGGGCCGGGGAAGAACTCGGCCTTCTCGTAGGTCACAAAGTTTTCCACCTTGACACGCCGAATAGCGCCAGGCTGGAAACCGTCCTCGTCGAAATCGGGCTTGGCGGCGCCATTTGTTCTGGAGGCTCGCTCGTTCTCTTGTTGTTCGCTGGTGTCGTCCCCGTCGCTATCTTCGGATTCGTATTCGGTGACTCTACGCCTCTGACGCCGAGGGGCTCCGTGTTCTTCCTCGTCGCTGTCTTCGCGTTCACGCCGGCTCCGTCGCCGTGAGGTGGCGTCGGACGCCATGGCGATGGTGGTCCTCGATCTCCCAAGGTAGTCGTCGGGGGAGATTGCGTTGGCAGCAACGGACGAGGGGCTCAGTCAGCAAACCGTGGAATGTCACGATCTCGCGAAGAGAGGTCGGATATCCTGGGTCTGAGGGATGGTGTTCGGCATGGGTAGGCTGTAAAGAGGCTTTCCGTGCCTAGTGTCATGTGCGACGCGATTGGACGCGTTGCCTCTTTGTCAGTTCGCGTCGGCTGAGGCACGTGGTGGGGCCCTCGAAGGTGTCGTCGAGGTGGTACAGCTTCTTGCTTACCTAAGTTTTTGGAGTGCAGACAAAGTACCTCGCCAAGCTTGCCAACGCTTGCCAACGCTTGCCAATGCTTGCCAACGCTTGCCAATGCTTGCCAATTGACCTGTGTGTCTTGTCTGTCTGACCAGAACGGGCAGGTGGAGCTAGGCCGATCTTCAGTGGACGTCAGTGCGCTGGTCAGTCGTCGGCGCGCAAGTGAATCCAACTTCATCCCTTCCATTGCTCGGCTCCAGCCTGACGTTGACACGTTGTCTGTCGTTTCTTCGGGCCTTCTCCAGGCCTCCAAACTCCGTTCACCTTTGCGATTATGGTTCTTCAGGTTTTCCCATCGCCTGCTTGCTGCTCAACACAAGTTCTTTATTTCATACATCGCTGTATCCGACGTTGGGGGATCGACCGTTAGCGATGACCTCGTTATTGTGTCCACCATCGGACGATCGAAAGTCCTTCTGATAGTCTGCGGATGGCATGAGCTCAAATACTAGTATTTCTTTATTAAGAACCCCAACATTCCAGAAACAACCACCCCCCCATTTCTGGTTCTACGTGGATATCAGACCTTGGCCTGCTTCCCGTGAGAAACCGCGCAATGTACACGGGAACCCCAGCCTTCAGTCTAGTATCTGCCGAACGATTAATGCCACGTTAACTGACGTATAACTACCTATTGTAGATGCTTGGAGGCAATATCAGCGCAAGATATACAGCGCAGGCACCCGGGTTCTCGTTCCTTCGGGCGGCTCCAGTGGTCGTAGGCAGCGATTTCCGATGATGAGCCACCAGTCCACACCATACCTAGAGTGCTCATTGATGTCCCATTTCGGTCACCATGACAGTCGTGAAAAGATGACCGAGAAGCCTGTGTGGTTAGAATCTGCTACGTAGTGACATGAGCATAAGGTGACATGAGCACAAGGCGTCTGTCGCGTCCAAAGCATCGCGCCTTGGTGGTGTGGTTGGCTCGGGTCACGTTGCTTCGCTCACATCACTAAAGAACCACATGCGTGAAAGTGGTGACAGGATCGAGCCAGAAAATAATGGAGGTTGGCAGCGATGCCGCGCATGAGAAGAAGGATGGAAGGAATGGCCAGAAAACGATGGAGGAGGCAGGGGTCTCGAAGCAAGCACGCTCCTGACAAGAAATTCACCGTGGAAGGCACCTCCTCCCTTCGGTCCTCCTGACATGACATGGAAGCATCGCCAACCCCGCTCAGCTGCATTCCTCAACGGCCGCCAAAACAGTCGCGTCAGCCTGTCTGCCCTCTCTTCTTCAGCTCTCTTCGCACCTCCTGCTCCGGCTGACCTACACTCGCTTGGTCCAGTTCCTCACCACTCCCGACGCACTTCTCTCCTTCAGCATCTTTGGCTATTCGGGACCACCTTCCAACTGCATCACCAAAAAAGCCTTCGTCCTCTTCGCCCTAACCGAACCGCATCGTATGGTCGGTTTTGTCCGTCACTCGCTGGGTTCGCGGTCGCACTCCTTCGTTGACTTCTATCTGCTTTCCACTGCATAACCTTTTGAGGTGCCTTCCAACACAGTTTCACAGGTACTCCCACCGACATGCTATAATCGCCTATACTGGTTCGCAGCATCATGTCGGAAGCCGGGCGTCTCAAGTCGTCCGCGGCCGTTCGGCCTCCTCTGGGCGACGCTACCTATCGGATCAACAACAACTTGCCCAACACCTCGGCCAAGTCGCCCAAGTCTCATGGCCCCGAAGCCAACGGTGCTCGAATCGACCCCGTCGTGTCACTCATTAATCCTGACATTGAGATGCCGGATGAACCTACTGTGTCCGAGCCGCATGCTCCTGACGGAGGCCACAACTGTGCTGCACCGCCTCCGGGACCGCAACCGCGTCATCCGCGAACGAGGGCCGTCCAAGAGACCGACCCTTCCAAGCGAGTCTCGCAAGCATCTACTGCCCCTTCGAGCAATCGAAGCAGCAATTGCAGCTACAAGACCCAGGTTGGGCCTTGGCAGCTGGGCAAGACTTTGGGGAAGGGGTCATCAGCACGCGTTCGACTATGCCGACACCGCCTCTCCGGAGAGCTCGCTGCCGTCAAGATTATTCCGAAGAAGACGGCATATCTGATTCAACACGGCAGCCTCGCCGCTCTCCACCAGTACGATGATAGTCTCCCGGACCGGATCGACGGCGAGATGCGTGTGCCAATGTCCATTGAGCGTGAAGTCGCCATTCTCAAGCTTGTTGACCACCCCAACGTCATGAAGGTGTATGATATTTGGGAGAATCGCTCTGAAATGTAAGTCGAATGGTGTGAGTCGATCAAGATGTGGCAAGCGTGGCTCACTCGTGCATAGCTATCTGGTGCTTGAATACGTCGACAAGGGTGACCTCTTCGACTACATCAATACCAATGGGCGTCTCAACGAAGAGGCGGCCATGTACTTTTTCCGACAGATCATGAGCGCCATGCAGCATTGCCACGCCTTCAACATCTGTCATCGCGACTTGAAACCCGAGAACATCCTGCTGAACGCCGAAAATCAGATCAAGATTGCAGACTTTGGCATGGCTGCCTTGCATCAATCTGAAGGCCACCGTCTTGAAACTGCATGTGGCAGTCCACACTATGCTGCGCCTGAGCTGTTGAAGAACAAGCACTACCGCGGAGACAGGGCTGACGTATGGTCGATGGGTGTTATTCTTTACGCCATCCTGGCTGCTCGACTGCCTTTCGACGACCCCGACATTCGCATCCTCCTTGCAAGGACCAAAAAAGGGATATACGAGATGCCCGAGTGTCTCAGCCCCGAAGCAAAGGACCTCATCTGTCGCATGCTCCAAGTCAATCCAGACATTCGAATCAGTCTCAAAGACATGTGGCGCCACCCTTTGATTCGCAAGTACGATTACCTTGACAATTTTGGCACCAAAGCTGGGCAGCCACGAAACATCCGTGAAGGTTTCGACTACACTCCTCTGAAGCCTCAGGAGGTCGACGACCATCTAGTGAGACAATTACGCTCGCTGTGGCATATGTTCTCCGAACATCAGATCAAGCTCATGCTTCTCGATTCATCGTAGGTCACCTCTTCTTGTCTAATATCAATCTGGAACAGGCAGGGTTCATGGGTACTGACAAGTCATGTCTAGGAAAAATGATCAAAAACTCTTCTACTGGCTGCTCCAGCAGTATCGACAGAAACAACTGGAAAACTTTCTTCCGGAAGTCTCCCAATCGCCGAGCGACTATCATCACCTTCACCAGCCAGCCTGGAAGAAGCGTGTGTCAACCTGCGAGTTCACCCAGCCGCGAGCTCACGGCCTAGGCAGAAGCATTTCCAAGTTTACTGTCATCTCCAATGTTCCTGACACCGACGTCGGCACGGTCAAGAGCTACGACCCGTACAACTCGAGTCGTCCCATGCGTGCGAATTCGCAAGTAAGCCATGCCAGAATTGTCGTGCACCGGAGAAATCAACCCAGCAAGAGCTATGCGCGAGAAGACACGTATACCTCCCAGATCACAAGGACGGGCACGCGCTCAACTGGTCGCCACACACGAGTCGACTCGCAGCGAACTGCTGTTAGCGGTCGCTTCCCGTCCTCACGAGGCTCCATGGGTTCAGTGGCGAGCAGTCGGCAGGGAGGATCTTATAGCCGCTCAGCTTCGCGGCGCAAACGCAGAGTCGACTTTTCCCAGGCCAGGAACCCATCGGTTGATCATCGCCGCGGGAAGCAGAGCGTTCGACGGGGAGCAATGAGCAACGCCAGTAACTCTCTAGCACCACGTCAGTCAGAATGGGCTTCTGAAAACGTCCTCAGTCCGCCGAAGCACCGCAAGGTTATGGACCGGCCACGACCGAAGCCAAGACTGAAGATAGTCAGGCCGCCTGATCCACATGCCATGGTCAATGAAGAGGTCCGCAATTTCTCAAACAGCATCGCAAAGGATTGCGATGATGCGTTCAACAGTTCAGCCATTGGATCTGATATTAGCGAGCTGCCGCTTGATGTGGGCTCGAATGGACGACGGGCCTCGACGCCCTTGTCTTTCACGACCACTGGAGCTCCTTCGGTCTTCACGCCCACTGCACCAACCATCACAAATCATCCTTGGGATTCGCGACCGTTGCCGCCACTGCCGCCTCAGACTCCGGGTTCTCCAACTCCACAGGTAGAGTCTTCCCAGCAAGGACGAGAGGACCAAGCAGGTGGCTTCAACAGGATTATTGAACAGGTCAATCGCCTTGCTCTACCAGTACTACTGCCCAAACACGACCGTAGAGTTGTTTCGGCCCCAACATACGACAAAGGTCATGAAAAGCTTGCTTCTATCAGTGAGAATGGGCGTGAAGTCCCTCCACAAATCCAACACGTGGACATTGAGAGATCACGCATCGTTTCTGCACCTCCTAGAACGCCTCGAGGTCGGGCAGATGCCGACGGACTGGATTACTTGTCTCGCGTGGGCGAAACGATTCGAGTCGTCAACTCTCCCACAGCAACAAGCCCCGTGCCTGCACCACTCAATGTACGAAAGAAGCATTCACATCAACCAGCTAGTGCGGTTGAAGGCGCCGGCCTGCGTCAAGTGTACATGCACGGCGCGATTCACGATGATGAACCTCCTGCGGGGCTGTCTGCGTCTCACATCAGTTCACATGGCGCGGATTCTGTACGGAAGAAAAAGTCTTGGTTCAAGCGATCTGCCAAGGAGGATGATCAGCGCGAGGCGAGCATCCGCACCAAGCAGACTTCTAGCTCCCGTGAAACGACCGACACAAGGCCATGTACTATGGCTACTCAGTCGACCATCGACTATAGCACTGAAGCGACGTCGCCGTCTCGCCACCATTCTGGACCACTCTCGCCGCCCCAGAAGAAGAAGTCGTTTGGACTATTGTTCTGGAAGAGCAACAAGGCAGAGAACCGCATGAGCATCGCTGGTAAGTTTTTTTTCGGTTGATCTTCATATGTCTCTCTCGGCCTTTTGTAGTCTGACCACGTTTCCAGGGCCTGATTACGAGGACTCGCCATCACCCGAATCTCGCAAGACGGGACGAAGCAAAGTCAGCCAACATGGGGACCAAAGCATCACGGAGTCAGACTCTGGGGTTAGAAAAATTGAGGTGCATCAGACATGGCTCGCACGCCTGTTTGGTGTGAAGCCGGCGACAAGCCACATGTGTCTTGTCGTGTCTCGCAAGCGTGCACGCCAAGAGCTCGCCATCCTGCTGAAGGACTGGCGGCGATATGGAATCCGCGACATCCAGGTGGATAAGGAGAGAAACGTTGTGTTCGCTCGCATTGGGTCGAAGAACTGTAAGTCAAAAAAGGACTCGCTGCTATTGCCCGTAACTCGGTGCTGACTAGACACTCCAGACCTGAACATCAAGGAAGTGTCTTTTGCCATGGAGATCATGACGGTCATCGAGCACGGCAAGCGAGGGTCCTTGAGCATTGTGCGTTTTACGCAGGAACGAGGGGCCGCCAGCAGCTTTCAGAAGGTTGTGGACACGATCAAGTCGGTATTTGGATCGCGTCACCTGCTGGTGACGGACAAGCGCAAGTCGAAGATGATGATCAAGACGCTGAATTCATGAGAGTGATGGGTAGGATTGCGCAAAAGTGGTTCAGCACATGTTGCATTGGCGACAGGCGATTGGCGTTGGCATTCATTATTGCGGAGGCGTCCTGGAAGAACAACTCGGCCAGAGGGATCTGGCTGACCATGGGTATTGTTTGCTGTTTCATGCTGGTCAGGATGGACAACCATTCCTTTTTATCATTCTCTCCTTTGTTCTGCTTCACTGAATTTTCTGTTTTGATATTCTTTCACAGGGTGGAGGGAGCGAGAGGAGGGCAAGCAGCAGGAGTGCCTGCTTGTCTGACAGTTAGGAAGATGCCTCCTGTCAGCTTGATAAGCGTCAGGGATAGATAATGAGTGGGAGTTGGATGTTCAAAGTCCTTGTACGACCTCTACTATTGCATTCTCTTTTACTTTTCGCCCACTCTTGTCTTCGCTGTCCAGACCATCACACTGTGTACAGAGTTGTTAGCAGAAACACACAAGCTTGTTACCTCAGCCTCAGCCGAGCCCGAGACTTTGGTCCCTCAGTAGGGTGGATGATGTGAAGTACCGGTACCTCGGCTTGCCGACGAGCCATGAATGACAGGAGAGCAATTGGCGAGTGAAAGCCAAGTTAGGCCCTGAGTGTCTCAAGCATTTGGCACCAAAAGTCCATTGACCTGCATGAGATGTGGTCCGTGCCGACGGCGCTTTACCTGATTTAACAGGCGTTTTTGGCCAAATACACGGTAGGGCCAGGTGGTTACATAATGAATGTACCGCGCTAGCAGGGGCCCTGTTCCATTTAGACCTTCCCTAAATAGGAAGGGATTTTTAACTTCGTGCCAATTGCTCAGAGCACCCTTTTGGTGCCAAAAAGATGCCACACTCCTGGCCTCCTCTCTAGCCCTGCAGTGATCATGTAAGCAATTCCAAGGGAACAACTTTAACCCGGCCGTCCAAAATCGAAACAGAACAAGGGTAAAAGAGGTACCTCCAAAATAGCACGCTAGTGCCGTTTTCAAGAAGTCACTCGATGCCAAATACATTTAACGCCAAATGCTCGAGACGATCAGGGCCTAATTAGCGGACCGAGGGGAAGGCAATCGTAGCGCCGATGGCCGTCTCAAAATGATGTGTGAGTTGACGGGGCGGTAAAGGTTGTTTAGCTGTTGACGGATAGAACCGGTTACTTGAGGTGAGGTTTCGGGGGGGGGGCCAACGATGTGGCGAGCCTCGGTTGCTCGGCCGGGGGGATGAGTGTACCTAAAAATGGAGGGGGGGGGGGTCGGCACAGCTTGTGGGAGTCACAGCTTGGATTTCAAGGTTCGCGATGTTTCATCTTATCATGGTGTAGTGTGCCAGCATTCAGTTCAATTGATGGTGTCGGCAGTGGATTCCGGTCTGCAGATCCGAGGTCGGCGTTCAGAAGTGACTTGCTGGTGGTAGGGGAGGATTGATCTTTTTTTTTTTTTTCTGTTCCCTCTCTGTTCGACGCTGAATCAGTTTTCTCACAATGCCCACGGGGAGGGCCCGCCAAACCGGCCGCGGGGAAGGCCGGCGGCGGTATGTGGAGACAGGCTTCGTTCGTCAGGTTGCGCTCGCAAGGGAGCTGGCTGGACCCGACAAGTGACAAGTGGCGAGAGAAGCGCATTACCTTGTCATGCCAGGCGAGCGAGGGAGTCAAAGTGAGCAGTGAGCAGCCATGACCGCATTGACGACAATGACACATGCTGTCCGACACGGTTCACGGGTCAACATGGCATCGGTCGGCTACTCTACTGCTACCCCACACTTTCACGAGCACTCGGGCGGGCTGGCCCAATTGTCACGGGCTGATTGACATAGTTCCCCAGGCCCGGCTCAGGCAGCTAACGTCACAAGGGAGGCCGTAAACGTCAGTGTTGCCGGCAGAGGTGCACATCCATACACCCGAACCAGCCCGACGAGTGCCGAGCCGGGGGGAGGGTGCCCATGTCGTTGTTGGGTGAGGGCGAGGAGGCTTGGGAGGGTAGCTACCGACCAAGATAGAGGTGCAGCCTGGGGCAATGGGCGAAAGCTGCTTCGGAAGAGATCCCGAGGTGGATCGAGGTACCGAGGAATTGTATGGGACGCCCGGCGGCGCGCTTTGTACCCACCCACCGAGAGCGCGCGCGCTGCGGCCCCTCCTCAATCGCCTACCTAGGTACCTTAGGTAGGTACGTAGGTACCCTTCTTGCCTTCACCTCTCAGATCAGTGCCTTCCTGGGGCAAAGGCAAGCGCATCGTCGCTGCTGCCGCCTTATCGCCGTGGACCCTTCCGTCATCGGTCGGTCGTCCCTGCCCTCAGCGTGCCCTCTGCCGAAGCTCAAAGAGTCAATCCCGTCTTCTTCCTTCCCCTCCTCCCCTCTTCTTGCCTTATTATTTCTTGGATCCAACCTCCTACCCATCCATACCAGTCTGGTTGTGGA